TAATAAAATATATATATATATATACATATATTAGCTATTTCAAAATTATTATACCTATGGAATGTACCTTATCACAGACAGTATCCCTGCGGCAGAATTTTTCAAGCTATCTGTGATAAAATTCTCTAGCACAAATATCTTTCTGCAAGATACTTTTAATAATAACAAACATATATGTTACTAATTTGAAATAACAAAAGCGCTGTTTACAGAAAAAAACTGTATATAGATATTTTGTTAATTAAACATGTAATATTTTTTTATTCTAATATTATGGGTGATATTCTAGAATTTTGTTGGGGGGAGGGGGGACGCACTAATCAGTTCCTTCTTTGTAGTTTGTAAATAATTATCACAAAAAAATTAAAAAGCATGAAATACGTAGTTGTATTTGCCGAATATAAAGATCGATGATGAAATCATGTGAATCGGACTCCTCAAAATGGGGTTACTCAAATGCGTATTTCGTTTCGAGATTATGTTGTTGTAACTAATATCATATAAAAAATATCAGATTTAAATACTCTGGAAAATAAATAGCAGTAAAAGCCAAAATGTCGATAGAATCATTGCCTTAAAAAGTAAATACTCAAATGCACGATTCGAATTTTCTATATTGTTTGAAATATTTCGGGATATTTAAAAACCACGTGAGAATCAATAAATGTCAAAAATACAATCAAAACATATGATACTATCGGAGTAACTACTATCGGATCAATTTTCGGATACTATCGGATCAATTTTAAAATTGCATAAATATGAATCATGATGCCTGATTTTAAAAATCATGTGAAAATGTGTAACTTTAAAATCGGTTTTATATACAATTGCATGATGCACATTTAAGACTTCGCTAAAAATACACACACCAGTTTGCAATATACAATCAAAATGATCCAGGGTCTTTTTTTTTCTTTAAATCTTGTATATACAAAATGGTAAATATGTGCAATATATTGTACTTCATTGATTTAAATAACTATTATTTTTAAATTTATACAATGAAGAAGAAAAAATAAATTTTAATTTACAGGAAAAGGATGCTTTTCAAAATATTCTTTTCCATGAACAGCAGAAATGACAGGTAAATCACATTTAGACTCTAAAGCCTCATCATTATTGAGATTTTCTTCTTTGGATCTGAAATGCATAAGTAATGATTTTGATATAAATGTCAAAATTTAAACAAATATATCTATAAATTCAAACAAACATATCTAACAATCCCCATTCTCACCATTTATACCATTTTCATTAATATTTTCACTAGACCATATTCATTAGTATCCCATTTTAATTAAATTAGACCTTTATAGTTGACAAACCTTTAATGAAGTTGTAACAATTTATATCAATTAGTTTACAAAATTAGACCCCTCTAAAAGACCAACCATTGATATTGAGACTGGGTAATAAATAAAATTTCACAAACAATTATAAACCTCTTTTTTTTATTTCTGAGCTTTTATCTATTTTTTGAAATTCTTTAAGCATTTTAAACTCTGTTATAATATCAGGGGTCTGTCCAGACATTTTGTGAAAGGTCCGTTTTTCGAGAAATTGTGAAAAAATTACTCACATATTTTCAACCAGGGTCCGCTTTTATGAATTTGTGCAAGTAGGGTCCGGTTATTGCAAAAAACTTTTTCAAGGAGTTTTTAAATTGTAAATAGATACAAGATTATGCTCGGCACTATAAAATTATAATAAAAAAAATTACATTTTCAAACATAAACAGCAATCGCTGCTTCTAAATTTGAGATGCAACATACAAATACAGTCGGACCTCTATTTAACGAAGTCGCAAAATCCCGAAAAAAAAACCGTTATATGGAAAATTCGTTAAATAGAAAATCCTCTTTTGAAATACTTACACAACGTAGAATAGGTTTTAAATTCACGGATACTAGAAATAATTAAAATTGCAATTGATACACCTTTATCTTGTAAATTATTATCAATTAATTATTTTTTAAATCTTACCCATAAAAGAAATCTGCAATGAAAGTAAGAATAGAACAAAAAATTATCCAGTGTGTTATACTATCATGCTACATATATTTTCCCCTGAATAAAAATGCTAAATTTTTATATATTAAAATTATTGCTTCATTTATTATAAATGTAATTTTAAACATACATTTTCACATGCATTCTTAAATTTTATAACTATTGATAAAGTCTGTTAATTTTGTCTGAGTTTTTTGTTTGTAAAAGTGTTTTTTCTCATAATAGGTCTCGCATTTTTGTAATGCACCAAAAATTCATTCAGGCGTATTCTCCTCAAACTGCAATCCACGTCGAATTGTTTCCACGGATTTTAACATTTCATCATATGAAGGTTTGCTAATTTCTTCATCATTTCCGTCTTCATCTTCTTCGTCTTCCTCACAATTTATAGCTGTATTGTTTTTATTTTTCACAAAGTCTAAAATATCTGATTCAGTTAATGTTTCGGTGGTTTCAGCTTCAGAATCAATAGAAAGATAATCATTTATCCGTACATCATCATTAATTTCGTGGTTCTCTCTTAGCTATACCCACATTTTTTTAAGTTCCTCTAAAGGAATATCATCCTCGTCCTCACTTTCCAAATTCTCAGCGTTGACAAAGAATCCAGCTTTAGCAAAACTGTTACGAATGGTGCGATCTGTAACATCAGAGTTCCATGCTTTGGAAATTTCTGTTATGCTTTCTCGCAAATTGATCTTTGGCATTGATTGCTTATTTTCAAGCGCAGCGATAACTTTTCGTACCATTCTTTTGCGGTAGTGCAGTTTAAAGTTTTGAATCACCCCTTGATCCATTGGTTGTAGCTTCGATGTAGTGTTTGGAGGCAAGTAAAAAACTGTAATGTTTTTCAGTTTTTTGTTGATATCCTTCGGGTGGGCAGGGCAATTGTCGAAAATTAGAGCAATTTTGCGATGCTCTGCAATCATAAGTTTGTCCAACTTTTGAATCCATTTTTCACAAATGTCTGCCGTCATCCATGATTTTTTGTTGAATTCATAATCAACCTCCAAAGATTTTGTGCCCTTAAAACATCTTGGAGTTTTGCTTTTTCCTATAATTAAGGGTTTTAATTTTTGATTGCCAGTCATATTTGCCCCTAGCATGATAGTTATTCTTGCTTTGCTGTGTTTTCCTCCAAAGCATTTTTCATTTTTAAATGTTAGGGTCTTTTGAGGCAAACATTGAAAAAATAAAGCCGTCTCATCAGCATTAAAAATGTTTTCTGGCTTATAATCTTTTAAAATTTTATTAAGAGTCTCTGCAATCCAACTTTCACAGTCCTTATCACTGACGTCATTACTTTCACCAGACATAACTTTTCCTACAATTCCTTGTTTTCTTTTAAACTTGTCAAGCCATCCACTACTTCCTCGAAATTCATCGTGTCCCAATGCCTTTGCAAATTGCATTGCTTTCTCGGTTATTAAAGGTCCAGAGATCGGCACGTTTTTATCTCGCATTGCGTGTATCCACTTCAAAACTGCCTCATTCACATCTTCATAGACACATGTTTTCAAACGTTTTGAACAAGGATTTGGTAAATCATTGTTTTCAATCTTATCACGGTTTCTTATTATCGTTGATAAGCTGCTTGAAGGAATACCAAATTTTGATGCAATATCTTTTTTTTTTACACCTCTATCCACTTCTTGAAGAATTAAATTTTTTTCTTTAATAGTCAGGCACTTTCGCTTCGACATTTTGCAGCCGCAAGAAAAGCAACAAGCAGCACTCTGATCAGCAATCTAAAAACAGGAGGCGATTTCGAGAACGGAGCTCTACTGAGTGAACATTGAAAGTTTTTCTAGAAAGGAAGTGAACAGTGGGGGTGGGGATAATAGGACATGTCAATAAGGGACCAGGGACCACACACTTTGATGACCCATTCATTTTATCTTCTCTGCTCATTTCCTATTCAAGGAATTTGACCCTTTCCCCCCTTTTCTAGTGACGTTGCATTTCCTGTATGAAATGCAAACAAAAAGGGAAAGGAATTTTACTGCTTTCTCTAAAAGTTAAGGGGATGCGAAAATCAGTTCAAGGTCATTTCCCCCATAAAATGCGTTAACAAGTTAATAATTTTCTCAAATATTTTGGGAAATGGGGAAAGTAGATCTCAAAAAAAAATTCGTTAAATAGAAAATTCACTTCGCTATTTAGAAGTTATTTAACGAAGAAATTTCCAAAATGTTCTTGGTTCCACGAAAAAATTCGCAAAATAGAGAAATTCGTAAAATGGAAGTTCGTTAAATAGAAGTCCGACTGTATTTGGTATTTAGCCTATACTGCTGAACGCAGAATAATCATTTCCGACGAATATCGGAAAATTCGTCTGCCGAACACAAAGCTTAATTCGTCTACATCCATCTTTCTTGTTTTCTGCCCTGGGAAGAGTTTATTCGACTAACAAAAAAATAATGAAGATAAACAAATTTGTGAAGGGTTCGATTAAAAGAAAAATTATTTTGTGAAGGGTCCGTTTTTAAGTTAAAATATTTTGTGAAGGGTCCGTTTTTATGAAAAGATATTTTGTGAAGGGTCCGTTAACAGACCCCTGAATATGGTATGAAATATCTACAGAAAGTTGGATTCCTCCACTTTCCGTAGATATTTCATACCATATTTAGTAATCTCTGAAGTCAAAAAAGAAAAGTATTTAATAACTGAAACAGTAGAAATATAGCAGAATCCTAGTTCTCAAGAGAACAAAAAAATAAAACCAATATAGATATTGAAATGAAGCGCTCAGTGTGGACATTCTAAAAGGCATTAAAATAACATAGTATTGATTATGAGTTACAATAACATTGAATCTGCAGGGCTTACCATATTTTCTGGTGAAAGCACCACATATCGATAAAAATTAAAAAAGTTATCATAATCGCCGTTGCGGAGCAGTCGCCGCAGAGGCGCGACTCTGCTCATATCAGACTCCTTATAAAAGAGACCTTTAAATTACCATTTAGACGATCTGTATAATAAATATAAAAAAAATTTATACATTTCATAAAGTTTTAATTTCGAAATTATTAAAAAATAAAATCCATTAGCAGGTCCATTGCTTACAGTTGTAGACTGTTAAGGCAAGGCTGAATTAGATCATCCTTGATACAGGTTTATTTGGAATAAGCATACATAATAAATAATTTTTTCAAATGGTCTGAAAATAACATTAAATACAAGAAAATATTTTAAAATACATCAAAAAACGTAATTTCTAAATTATTTGGGGGGGGTTGGAGAGAATAACCTAAAATGAATTAACAAAGAGTTTACATAAAATTCAGCTAAAAAAAAAGCAACAAAACAATGTAAAATAAAGTTGTTTTTACCAGTTGGCGCTAGAGTTATGCTAGCAATAATAGTGTTCATACTTCAAACAATTTTACATTTGTTAAATGAGCACTTACTTTCACGAATATTTGAAATAGAAAAAAAGAAAAAAAATAAGAAAGGAAAAGGAACTTGATAAGACTAAAATTTTAACTCTACAGCTACACGGATATTTTTGAAGAACAAAAAGGTTTTGCAAATGAAAATTTTTAAAAATTGGAACAAAACACAAAACAATTTAAAAAAATAATAATGACACTTTGTTTGGGGAAAGACCGATGACTTTGTGCAGGATGATGCAGATATCTATCTACAAATTTCATTGGAAAGGAGGAACAACATACCATACTTCATTTATCTTTATATCTAAAATGTTGATTTCTCATAATTTTTCCCATTAAGATTTTAGAGCAGGGTGACATGTGTTACATTAAATTAGTTTTAGTAACATCTATTAAAAAAAGTTTAAATACAAAGTTTTTAATCAAATGTTTAAAAATTTTTGTTCGGTAAATTAATTTCTAACAATGAGTCGCAAACTTCACCTATCGTTATAAAAAAAAAAAGTTTAATAGTCTCCTTTCCATATTACATACAGTTCTGGGTTACTTTTAAATAGATATTGTCCTTCTTGAACAATGATTTCACACATTATTTCTCATTTCTCAGAAATTTGTTTCCAAATATAACGCTAGGATTCCTACACATTTTCTAATGTGCAGATAGTTTCTGGATAGCAATGCAAAGTGCATACATCAGTCTGCGCTAAACAAAAGTATTGTTTATACATTAAAAAAAATTCAATTTTTTGCTCGACTGACTCGTATGTGCATAATTCACGAATGCAAAGAAAACTATGTCTACTGTTTTAGATAGCAATATCAGTAGAGTAAATAGATTCAAGAACAAATTCGTACTTTTTATACATAAAATCCTTACAACTATTAAACTGATTGTCTCGGTTGGAATTAGTCTCATTATATTCAGTGAGATGATATATATACTGAAAAATATTTCTCGTGGAAAATATGCCCTCTTCACCCCCATTTCCCTCAAAAAGCGGAAAGGGGTACAAATGAGAATAGGAGAGTATTCAAGTATCACTTAATAACAAAACAAAGCTTTCGATGAATTGAAAAAAATCATGGGTATACTTAGTTGTTCCGCCTCGCCTGGCCCTTTTATTCCCAGGCATTTTCTCTATAATTGGCTTTTCCTCTCTCCATCGACGGATGCAACGTTCGTCTATCTCAAATTCTCGGCCCGCTGCCCGATTGCCGATTTCTTCAGCCCGCTTAATTACAGACAGCTTAAATCTAGCAGTGTAGCTCTTTCTTGAATCCATTACGTTGATGAAGAAGGCAAAGGTTAACAGGGATAATATAAGGAAAAGTAATAACGAAACAATTAATAATAACAAAATAACTAATAATAAAGAAATAACTAATAACAGGAATAAGAAATTACTAAGCACGCACCAAAAAAATTCTCAAGAAGGAATGAATGAAGCGGAAACGAGTTTTACTTTCACAAACTTCGAGGGTCAAATTTTAGTGCGTAGAATGTCCTTTCGCCTAACAGAAATAACACAATATGACTCAACATAGAAAGAGAGAAGAAACTGTTTAAAAGAGGGATGTACCCCACCTCCTCTTGTCATTTCTACTGCAGCTGTTTAGGAGGAATCAATCGGTTATTTTTAAAGGGGTTGGGGAAAAGAAAGGGGGATAATTCCTTATCTGTTCGCTCCAATCACAATTTCCAAGGCGCTAAATGGATTTTCAGCTTGTGATCTTTTTTAAGCTGGGGTTGGATATAAGATACCAGGGGTCTGTCTAGGTTTTTCTAATTTGTGAAAAACTAAAAATTATGTTAAAAAATCAACTTAAAAATATGGATTTATCGTTTCTTAAGGGATACAAAAATAAAATTTTAAGAAAAAGTATTTTGTGAAACTACCGTTTTTCCTAAAATTGAATTTGTGAAACTACCATTTTTCCAAAGTTGAATTTGTGAAGATACTGCTAAACGGTAGTGAATTCGGCCTGGACAGACCCCTGGATACATACCTTTTAAATTGATTTCCTTATGGGATGCTTTTTTTTATTATTATCTCGTTTATTTATTTCCTTGCAGGCTGCTGCCGAAAGTTGCTGAAAATTGGAAATTGTTCTGCAGCAGATCGCGATATGGGCGAATATTTTGTCGACTTCCTTATAATTTTTTTAATGAAGTCTTTCTCTCAGAAAATTATTTCTTTTTAAATAATTTTTCCTTGATAAATTTTTTGGCACTAAAAATTATTTCACAGAATCGCCGCATGTAGGAAAGAATAAACTTTTTTTTCTATAGCGCCGCGGCGCTTTCGCTGAAAGATACGGTAGTATACCAATATGGTAATTACAATTGAATGGTCTTAATAAAGAGTATGGACTATATAATTACATAGGTACTTTGAAACTCAATTATCATTTTTAAAATTTGAAATAAAACAGTGTGATCATGATAGAAAATACCTTTGTGGTCAATACACTAAATAATTAAAAATATCAAATTATAAAGCTGTAATATGAATTTTTAATTTTAAAAAAATTGTGAAACTAAAGAATGTGAAAGAAATAAAAGATTTTGCTATCATATTTTCAACTCTAATAATGGAGTACTGTTGCGACTTGCTTTGTGACTAGCTTGTAACTTTTTCTGTAGTGACTAACACTGAATATAGGTTTGAAAGAGTCAGAGAGAATGTTTAATAATGTTTAAACAGACTACATTGGATAATAAATACTTATCAAAAGATAAAAATGTTATTATTTTAAATAAATATTTGCATACCTTTCATCATTTTCAACAGTTTTTTCAATCAGAAGAATCTTTTCTCTTTCACGTCGATTTTTCTGACTTTTTGATGCTTTTGATGGAGTACTCCGTTTCCGATATTTGTGTGGGGCACCTTTACCCATAACAAAAAATTAGATGCTCCTAAAATTTAAGAAAGAAGGCTAGAAATAGTTTAATTACTAGTAGTAAAGAGTTATTAAAATTGTAAAAATATCAATTATGTTCTTCAAATAACTTTGAGCTTTATATAAGTCTAACCATACCATTAGCTAGCTAATCAGGTATATTAGCTATGCTAATAAACCATTTCATAATTTTGCACTTGTGAAGCAGTAGGTAATGTTTAAATTTGCACATGCCAATTAAACATCCATGAAATATGCAATTGGAAAATAATTAGTTATATTTCATAGTTGCATAATTAATTATAGAGATACTAGCTGAATACCTGTTCTTCAAATGAGGTGAATAAAAATAAGTAAAGAATAATAAATCAGTACTGAGAAACTCTACAAAATCATGCTCATAGCTGAAAAGTATATACCAACATAGTAAAAAGCTTGATAGAAAAACTAGGTAAGTGAATTTTTTAGAGGAATTCATGAATCAGAGAAAGTAACAAAAAGTGGTTACATCAATATGGGTATGTTTAATGTAACAGAACTGTTTTTGTCTTCATTTAAATCTTAACATAACTAATCCACATCAGTTTTCAATATGCATACATGATTTTTATTTCAAATTAGTCAGTGGTAAATAAAATAAAGCAAACAATTATTAGTCCCACCTTTTAATTAATTGGCAATAAAATAATTCGGAAACAATTTCTTTCTTTGTTCAAAAATGTCACTTACCTGGTTGTTCCACTCTTTCAATTAATATAGCTAAAATAATTTAAATTCTTTTTATTTAATATTATCTGTAGCCTCTTTTGGTGGCTTTCCCTATTTGAGTAATCATAACTATTTTTTTGTAGTTCATTCCATTGAAATAAAGATAAATGTATTTAGCATCACTTGTCATGATGCTGGGTTACTTGTTTATTTAATAAAAAACAATTAATTTAAAAGATATACTAAAAATTTACCCATAACAAAATATTTGATGTACAAGCAAAATTTTATTATAAATTAGATTTATTATCACATGCAAGAGTAAAAGTTAACAACAGGCCATCAATAATTTTAAGCTCTGATATGCTTCTAAATTAATGCTCACTATCAAAAATCAAATATATATATATATATACACTGAAACCTGTGTACAACGATAAACCTGTCTATAGCGATATTTCCTTGAGGTCCCGGTGAAATTCCTATTTACTCAATGTATTTTTAACCTGTTTATAGCGATAACCACTTTTCAGTTAAACATGTCTACAACGATAATTTTTCCTCTTTTGATAGTTGATAGTTCTATTCCAATTTTTCTACCGTTGGAAAACGACTCCCCATCGAGCCTAAATGTGAGATAACAAAATGCTTTTTTTTTTCATCTCTTTTGTATGTAATATTCTTTCGTTGTTTCTGAGAAAAAAAGCCACTTTTAGGGGAAATTAGAGCAGTAGAAATGGGTGAAGGGGTATTGTAGGAGGGAGAGAGTTTCATCAGAAAAACGGGTGACACACTGATGAGACATCAATGCAGCAGCAACACAACAAGATTTCACCCGAGAATGCCATATTGCTAATTAACGCTTTGCAAGATTTTGTTGCAACATTACCAAATGTAACTGATGTTCATTTGAATTCATTAGATGGACTGAAATCTATGTGCATGGAAATTGCTTCCAAAAATAAGCAAACAAAACTAACCAATTATTTTTCTAAATAATTTCTGTTTTGATTGATAAAATTGTAAGTAAATTTTTCTTGTGTGCTGTTTCATAATTCTAAGTAAAATTTTCATTTGGAGCCTATAAAAGAAGTTTAATTTATCATTAGTTTTAAATATATACTTATAAATTTCAAACCTGTCAAAAACGATAACCTGCCTATAACAATATTTTAATTAGGTCCCTACAGTATCGTTATAGACAGGTTTTACTGTATATTGATATGAAATAAAGGTTTATAAGATATTGACTGATTGGGTTATAATTTAAAGCTATCATCTTTCTCTCCTTCCTATCCTTATTTATCTAGCTACCATCTAGATAAATAAGGATGAAGTTTTGAGTTAAAATAGGGACGAAAAGACCTAAAAATAATTAAACAAAAAATATTGTGAACATAAAAAACGATAACTTTAAACTATGACTCTTAGAAGGTAAGACTAAAAACTTAGATTATAAAATATACACACATTAGACAATAAATTATATACACTAATTATGAATAGATTATACAGTGAGCCTAAAAATCCACTTTATCAGAAAAAATTACCACGAAATGGGAAATTATCTATAAAAGTGGGAACATATATAGATTACGAAAAAAAAAGAAACAATTTATAAATAAACAGAAGTGAGAATCTTATGGAGATCTTCCTTGTTAGGAATTCTTTTGGCGCCAATTTATTTATTTAAGAAATGACGATTTATTTTTCAAAACTTTAATCATTTTAAAACTCTACATTAGTTTTTAATATTCTTTTCCATAAAAAGGAGATAAGCTTGAAACATCACATAATTGAGGTATAATCACATAATTAAAAACCCATACCTGCGTTTGAAATAAGTCCTGTCTGTTTCAGTTGTGTTGCGTTTTGGTTTTGCTGTGTTTACTAATATTCATGAGAAAGTTTCCGGTTGTTACTTTTTGTTGCATGAAACTGATTAAACAAATTTTAGGGTTCATTCTTACTGGGGCGCACCGTACTGCGTCTGCATCATAAATTTGGGCTGCAGGGACACAACGACTATTACAAATCGACTACTTCAAGTACAGCTCGTCCCGCAGTGGACTGATCGTTAAGACACGGTTCCCAGCAGATCACCGAAGTCAAGCATCACTGGCTACGGTCAGTGTGCGGGTGGGTGACCACTTGGATCAGTCTGCGTAGGGACCGAGGGTGTGCGGTATTGGTCCTCGTTAAACTGTGCTACCGTAAAGTGCTCGACTTCACGCGCAGGTCGTCGGGCTACCGAAGCGGGGGTGCCATCCCCTCCGCAGAGGATCAAAATTGTGATGGCATGTCTTCGGATCATCCTCCGGGATGTTTCCCAGACCGTCGCCAATAGCCCATTGTGCAGCTCTAGTGCGACGTAAATTAACAACAACAACAACATCAAGTACAGCTCTTAGCGAGACGCCCTGTAGCTAGTATTCCACTCTCACGTGATTATTCCCCGCACTTTGACAGCAAATTTGGACGTCAACCTGATTCAACCTGTTTTGTTGCTATTCAGAAGCAGCATTCAAAGCAGTATTTTCCAACAGGGTAACGCTCGCCTTCATACTTCTGTTGTGACCCAACATGCTCTACAGAATGTCAGCATGTTGCCTTGGCCTGCTTCATTGGACAACTTTAGCGTCATACTCAAACAGAATTAACTATACCCATATTGACCGACCAAGTGCAACAGGCTTGGAACTCCATCCCACAAAATGATATGCGGCATCTGTATGACACAATGCATGCCTGTTTGCATGCTTGCATTCAAAATTCTGGTGGTTACACCGGTTATTAATGTACCAGTATCAATTCAATACCATCAATTAAATATAATACAATCAATTATCTTTCATCAATTAAATATAATACTCAGACAAACGCACTTTCGAAATTTCACTGTATAGTTTGTCTATGCTAAGAGCTCCTCCCGTCACCAAGTCTGAGGCAGCATGGTGCTGTGGAAACAAGAATGGTGCATTTTCACTCAACACTCTAGGACTAATTCTCACATTCACTCTAGGACTAACACAATAGACCGAAGAAAAAGATTCCCTTTTTCGCACCGACCAGAGCCGAAACTACTCCAAAACAGTGACCTCGCACCCATACTTGAAATAGTCATACCTCGTTACCATAGTCACCGCCACAGGTCCAGACTAATGTCTGGGGGGTTTGTTATTTTAGACAAATTATACTCAATACAATAATTTTTTCTTGATGTTGGGATTTTTTTCCATCATCAGTGTATATTTTAATAAGTTACGAATAAAAATATCAATGAAGATACTAACTATGAAAAAGGTATCTTTATATCGTTCTGAACCAAACTCTTGTAACATCCTCAACAATCATCTGAAACATTGTTGATGTTTTGAAAGTCTCCACAAAGACTATAAATATGCCGAACATAAAGAGCTGTTTAATACATATAGTCAAAATTTTTAAGCGTCATAAAATATCTTAGTATCTAATATATCGTCCTAACATCTTAATTTGAAAATTAAATTGTAATTTCCTGGCCATGTGTGATTCACACAACTATTCAACCAATTTATTTTATCATATTTTTACATTTTTCAAATTCTCTTTCTTTATGCTACCAAGTACACTGCTGGCCACTCAAATTGCAACACCAAGAAAGACAAGAGATATCACAACAAAATTAATTTTGTAGATAACATGTTGTCCAAGTATCAAATGATTAAATTTATAGACTTCTGTGAAGTGTGGTTCCTGCCAAAATCAGTAACCACCGCGGCCACACGCCTCGACATTGATTCAAATGGACTTTAAATGTGTTCTTGGGTTACAGCAAACAAAGCAGCTTTCACGCGTTGCCAAAGTTGATCTGGTGTGGCAGCTGTGGATGTAATCAGGGTCAATCGTTGAGCAATACCCCATGTTTTCTATCGGCGAAAGATCCGGAGAGCGAGCTGGCTGTCAAGGGAAGCAATTCAATCTGGCTATTGACGAAGAACCCTTGGACAATGCGTGCCACGTGTGGTCGCGTATTATCCTGTTGAAATAAGGCTGTAGGCAAGTTCTGAAGGTAAGGAAGGACAACTGGCTCCAGCACCTCGGAGATGTAGCTCTGCCAGTTTAAAGTACCGGCAATGCGTACTAGAGGAGTACACGACACTCCGTCGTACCCTTCTACATCCAACGATCACATATCCTCATTACAGTTGTTTGGTTTCGTCCAACACGACTACTGATTTCCCTGAAAGATTATCCACAATCTCGGTAGGCCACTATCCTTCTTCTGTCGAACTCGGATACTTGATTAAAAGATGATCGCTGTTTTCTACGAGGCATAATTGATCGTTTTTTGAAGAAACCACAAGAAAAACACAATTGCCGAACTAGAAATCGTCGAAATCTCCAAGCCTTAAATAGCGCTTTGAAGTGGCGCCACAGGTGCGGGTAATGTGCGTCTGCACTGAAATTCTAATCGTTTGCATATCTCACCTCCGCTAATGCATGTTGCCAATTTCATGATATTGGCATGGTTCCTTTAGGGTGTTGCATTTACTGTGGCCAGCAGTGTAGTTTTTTTCCCGATATATACTAATATAATTTGTCTAATTTGTATTAATATTTAAATTTTCTTCTCGAAATTAACACTCGTTCAAAATAATTGTCAATTGCTGATAAGAATTCAAAAGCATTTTGCCCTGACTTATCGTATAAAATAAAGTTTTGTATGCCTTATTTTTTAAATGAATAAATTCGAACCGCAATTTTATTTAAAGTTTATGTAATACACCGTTAACTTTAAGAAAGCTGCTGTTTTTTTTTTTCTTCTTTTTTTTAATATGACTTAAATATTTTTAGCGAATAATGTAAAAAATGTTTGTTAAAATGATTTTTCAACTTTAGCACAGTTTGCAAGATAATATTATAGTATATTTTGTTATCAGGGAAAACCTGATTTTGTTTAACAGCAAAAACTAAATATAGAAAATTGTAAGAAGAAGTCAAAGTTGGGCAATTTTTAGAATAATTATCTGATTTGAAATATGTAATAAAAAATACGCAAATTCTTTAATCCGTTTTGATAAAAAAAAATTTAAAAAATACGCAGTGATAGGCTTTACATACTTTTTTTTTAGAGAAATTATGAATAAAATTTTTTCTTATATTTCTCCTAGGAAAATTCTCAGTAATTTCGTTACTTCTAGAATTGAATGAAACATATTGCTTGAAAGCTAAAGCAAGAAAATATTTAAATATTGTTTTTTTATTTAAGCTTATCCCATTAATCTGTTGATAGCGGTATCAAGGATAAGGATATGCTAAAGAAGTCCTGGTTAACTGTTATACTATGGATGCGTTACATCATATAGCTTAAATAATTTATTTTAAGTTGTTGTTGTTAATTTACGTCGCACTAGAGCTGCACAATGGGCTATTGGCGACGGTCTGGGGAACATCTCGGTGGATAATCCGAAGACATGCCATCACAATTTTGATCCTCTGCGGAGGGGATGGCACCCCCGCTTCGGTAGTCCGACGACCTGCACGTGAAGTCGAGCACTTTACGGTAGAGCAGTTTAACGAGGACCAATACCGCACACCCTCGGTCCCTACGCAGACTGATCCAAGTGGTCACCCACCCGCACACTGACCGCAGTCAGTGATGCTTGACTTCGGCGATCTGCTGGGAACCGTGTCTTAACGATCAGTTCACTGCGGGACGAATGAATTTTGAAGAAAATAAATAAAATATACATTTTCTAACAATTTCGAGTCAGATAAAACATTCGAACCTACTATCTTTTTATCGTTACTTGGTCCCGTTACCATTTTATCAGTACTCGAAGACGCTATGATTTGAGCAAGTATTGAACCCACTGCCTTTCTGTCAGTACTCGATTCTATAATATCCAGCTTTAGAACCCACTATAACAAGAGCTAGAAGCGTACCCCTTACCATTTAATCAATACTAGTACCTGCTATCATTTAATCAGCACTCGAACCTATTATAACCAGTTTTCGAACTCACTATCATTAGAACAAGAATCAAACTTATTACCTTTCCGTCGGCACTCGAAATCATCCTTTGTTTCTATGAGCATCTAAAGCGATTATGGTAAATGCGCATTGTAAAGGTTACATCCACTATTTGAAGTGAAAGAAGCCGGACCACCAACTCTAAATGAAGAGTAAGTGCTCTCCATCCACCAGTCACGAGTCTTCATTTTTTGCTCGTAAACAAATATAATAAACTTTCACTGGTAGTTTCGATCAAATGATTGTTGTTGTTGTTAATTTACGTCGCACTAGAGCTGCACAATGGGCTATTGGCGACGGTCTGGGAAACATCCCGGAGGATGATCCGAAGACATGCCATCACAATTTTGATCCTCTGCGGAGGGGATGGCACCCC